GATATATGCTGAAAACAGAAGAACAATGGCTTCATCCACGGAAAACATCGCAATCATGGCAAACTGGTGAGTACTTCCCTCTGGTTTAAGTTTGAAAGTCACGATTCATAACTGCAAAAACACAATTAGTAACTATGTTACATATCTGGTTCTATCTGCTTGATAAAATGAGGAATTATCTTCAACACGGCTGAAAGGCTTACGTTACTCAGACCCGCAAAAGAAGAGCAGACAGAATGTGTCATTTATAGAGAGGAATGCTTTCATTAACATGTTTAAAACGACCTTTGTTCTTTGGCTTCAGTCCTGGCGTTATGACAAATTTAAAAGGTGTGAAAGTTAAAGAAAATTGTTGTCACGTTGTTGCTATTTGAAAGATATTTAAACCACGAACCAATTGAAGAAGTTTATTTTCCTGGTTAATCACTTTTCCAGTAAATGTACTATAAAGTTCACTGCTACTCACTGCCATCGCTTTCCGACTAGCGATTCACTCGTGCATGCCACGCGCGTGATCCGTGGGTGAAAGTCCGAAACTGATAACTTCATTACGTCATGAAACCGGAATTTTTTAGATACCGTCCAAAAGCGCAGAAATGGGCTTTTATAGGGATCAGTTTTGTTAAAATGTGTACGAAGACATTTTCGACCGTGAAACTGAATGAAAGGAAGATCGGAATTTGAGAATTTACAACCTTGACCTGCCTTACTTGGCCTGCAACTTGAATAGAAAAAGTCAAAAGTTGACAAAGTTCTCGTTGATTTTGCCAAAATTATTCTTTCTATTTCTTAAGTCTCGGAAGAGGGTGGAAGAATGTCACCTTTATATCTATCTTCCTTATGTCAAGTAGCACATAAGGTCTTAAACGCAGAACTCGTATAAATTTATTCCCCTCTTTCATCGTAACTAAAAAAAGTGTAAAAACACGACAGGCCGTGCGCTTATTTTACAAAATAGCTCAGTGTAGTTAATTAGTTGTCCCTGACGACATACCTTAAAATTGATATCCATTATTGGCTTAACTCCAGAATAGAAGCATTTAAATTCTTATTTCGTGTTGCGTAAACTACCTTAAATGAGTTAAACCGAATTTGTTAGCCCTTACGAACACTCTGATCTCCTGTCAGTAAAATTTTGTTGATCAATAACAAAAAAAGTTCCTTTAAGATTTTAAAGGAGCTCAGTCACACTTTTTTGAGTTATTTTGTCCTCGTACAAAACTACCTTTAAATTGAAGGAAACATGAAAATAGTAATAAACTAAGATGGAAAAACACCAAAGAGATAATAATAAACCATAGAGGAACAAGGATGGTTAAGGATGGAGAAGATTAACACGGATTAAAAACGACGAACTTGATACATTTAGGCTAAACTTTTCAAGATGCACTAAGGCTTTTTTAGGTAACAGTAAAGTTTATAAGTAGTTTATGGAAAACGACTTTGTGCCTCTCCGAAGCTACTACTGTTACTAGAGGTATATTTTCTATGTATCTTAGGTGAAATTAATACAGATAAGGACTTCGCAGATTGGCACAAATTTTCTTGCACCAATCCTATCTTACGAAAACGTTTGTTCTTATCACTGGATGATAGACGGATGGCTATATCTCTAGAACTATGCTTGCGCAGTCGGCTGGAAGTGGTTTCTTTGTAGCCTAGTGTTTCTTGCCAGAATAAATTTCGTTCAATGCCCTTTTCCGTTATGTTCGAGCCATCGAATTGTTTTGTTCCCAGCGATGAAGGCCTCATGACGAGTACTTCTGCGCGCCAGTAGTCTGCCCTTTTCCTTCTTGTTGGGTATTTCTACGACGTTTGGTAATGGCGAAATCGTTCTTGACTGACCCAGGACTGTGAAATTCTCGCCTTCATCTGCCTCAAAGATCGCTTCCTCAATTACAGTAGATGGAGGTCGTTGGTAGAACACCGAGAGCTTTCGGAATGAACCCTCGCTCTGCAAGGCATTTAATTTGCCATTTTCAAAATTAAAACTCTTATCAGAATTGCTGTCTGTTATGCTGGTTGTTGTCGTGGTCTGATCATTTATGCCCAGTACTTTTACACGGATGTCTTCTCTTCCGTGTAATTCTGCTGTGTTTTGAGCGTTCCCCTCGCACGACAGTTTTTTAGTTACTTCCTTTGCTAGATCTAAAGACTTCGCTCGGTGAAAACAAGGCTCGTTTCCTGGAATTAAAGACCTCCTTTGCCGCTGTAAAAATGGCTGGTTTCGTGCATCCAAGGAACCCCTTCGGTTTAACAATGGCTGCATGTGTTTTCCTGCATCCAAAGACTTCCTTCGGTTTGACAATGGCTGGTTGTTAAGAGAGATGGTTCTCAGTCGTTGCCGTGTAGCTGAGCTCAGGTCACCGACACTTGAGCTTCTTCTACGTTCATGCATTCTCCAAAACGTATTTCTTTGCTGATTCAGATCGTCTGGGGGTGGCTCCTCGTTTCTTGTTTGATCGTTTGCGACAGTTTGGTCAGTAACGGTAACATTTGGCGCGGTAGAGGGCAGGCTCTCAGTACTGAGCGAGGTCTCGTTTTCATTTTGCGAGTAGTTCAACGACAACGTCTTATCTCTGCTCGTGTTAGCCCGACGTTCCTTTGGTTTTCTTTGCCTAAACGGCATTATATCGTCAGCAGACATTGCTGTAACACATTTTAGCTCTTGCATAAACTTTTGTAACTCCCAGATTTCGCCATTGATGCTTTTCATTTGTTTTTGCTTTTCTTGCTCGAAACGCCGGAGCGTTTTCCGCAAGTCGTTGTTCTGACGGACATAGGATGTGGCAAGGTTTGGCAAGTCAATTGACAATTCGCCCTTTTTGATCTGATTCCTTGTGCTTGAACGCTGCCTCTCAGATTCCATCTTGAAGAAAACGTGAAAAAAACTTCGGCATTGGCAATTCTGTCTGCGAGACACTACTGTTAATTCTGAGGGTTAGCTCACACGTCATTAATCTTTGAGGGCTGCTACCTACATAAAACTACACAACGTGCTTTTGTTTTTGCCAAATGCTTTAATCCAAACTATTGTTACAGCATTCAATTTAACAGCTCATTACTCATTATTTTCGACAATTTTAATTTCGACTTAATATTGGTTATACGTTAATAATAATATATCAAGCTTTGACCAATTTTCTTTTTAGTACAATAGTCTAGTTAAAAATACTTTGATCCCTACGTTTAAGTTTTAACATAATTACGGCAGTACATGGGATTAGAAAACTTTCTGTATTTTTACCGTAATGTACGCTAAAACAAAGGAGGCGTGGCTTTTAATTACTTTTCTACAACATTCACAGATTTTATTTAAGACCCGTCTACACATTTGAAAAAGGAGTTTTCACCGTGAAAACACAACATATTTTTCCGTCGACACCACGCCGGAGGAATTTAAAAATGCTACAATCACTGGCCATTAATTGAATTTGTGTTTGAGGAAAACTAGGTCAGGGAAATCACATGAATATCGTGACGCCATCGTTTTCGAAAAGATCCTTTTTCAAAANTGCGGTCTGCCCGACATGTTTTACACAAGAGCGTGGTTACAATTACGCATGAGCAGAATACTATTTGCAGAACAACACATTAAGACGGTCTACGCACGAGCAGACCATTTTTTGTAGGCAGTTATTTGCTGGTAACGTGGTGGGCTCTCGGCCAATGAAAAGGAAGACAAAATGCATCAAATGATAATTCTGGATAGTTGTTCACCTGCCGAGCGCGGTTGCAGAGCTGAAGGAATTATTTTGTCATATGTAGAGCGCGGTCGCATAGCTAGAAAATTGTGGAGTGTTTGTAGTGGCAATGCGCTTAGCCGCACCTACCTAGTGCTTAGGCATGCTACTTAAACTGAAAGAAGCAAAAAATTTCAAATTAGTATGATAGAGTTAAAAAAAAGAACCCAACTGGTGGGAGGTAGACCAGGTGGCTATTTACAAGCATCACGGGGGAGTTGAATTTGGGTCTACCGAGAAATAATTCCAGCTTAGTCGTCGGAGCGGGACTTGAACCCGCAACCTCTGGAGAGAAACCCGGCGCCTTAACCACTCGGCCACAGTACCTCTACAACAATATTACGCGTTGATCACATATCCGACCACGAAATGCAGAACAAAAACCGTAAATACTGTAGAGGCGCACACGAAATACTAAAAAACAAACTAAGGATAACCGAGGAGGTATTAAAAAAGTTATCCAAAGGTAGAAACGATCGATACAAACTAACAGAAAGTAGCGTTGAACAAATATGAATTCTCCATTCAGAGTTCATTTTAAGAGGACTGATTTCACTCACAATTGAATGTTAACAGTGAAGCGCGGAAAAAAAAAAAAATAAAAAACCCTTCCCAAACGTTAAAAGAAAAAATAGTGATTACTAGAGAAACAGAACCAAAATAGAGTTTTAAAATCTTCATGAAACAATACAGACCACACCTTCTAGGTAATGATAAAGGAAATAAATTAATCAGCTACGTCACGGATTGCGCATCTTGAAAAATTTAGCCTGAATTTTTCAAGTTCGTTGTTTGTAATTCGTGTTAATCCTCTCCCTCCTTAACCATCCTTGTCCCTTGAAAATATATAATTTATTAACTAGAGCTTAAAATTTATATCAGCAGCCCTAATAAAAAAGTATTTTTGACCTCACTGATCACGGACTGTAATCATTCGGAAGTCTGTTCCACCATGTTGACGTAAAAGTAGTTTTTCGATGTAAGTCTGATGGTTGAGAAGGTTTTACTTGGCAAAGCGCATGGAGACAGGGAAATATAGAGCAAGGCTAAGGGAAAATGGGGAGGCGCGGTGGCCTCATGGTTAGTGCGCTCGTCTCTGGATCGAGCGGTCCGGGTTCGAGCCCTGGCCGGGGACATTGTGTTGTGTTCTTGGGCCAAGGCACTTTACTCTCACAGTGCCTCCCTTCATCCAGGTGTATAAATGGTTGCCGGCGAATTTAATGCTGGGGGTAACCCTGCGATGGACAAGCATCCCATCCAGGGGGGAGTAGAAATACTCCTGGTCGCTTCATGCTACTGAAACCGGGATAAGCTCCGGCCTTATGAGCCGCTTGGCTCGCATGGAAATATTTCTTCCTCCCACTCCACGAAAAGAAAGCAAAAAAATTAGAGAAACAAAAAAGGAAAATTCGCTCTTGTCCTCTGTTTCGAAATTTAAGAACATCCTTCTCTTTGTCATGCAAAACAAAAGCGAGAAAATTTTGCCTACATCAAGTAAAGGAAAAATAACAATGCCTTCAAATGTGGGTATTTTTCACGATTTTTATTCGGCAAGAAAGTTTATTTATTAGCCTCTACATGTAGTAACACACGTTTCGCTTCGAATTGCTGCATGAATTCGCGATATTTTCCAAAAAAACAATTTGTCATGTCAATAAGCGGATATTGGTTACTGTAGGGTTGAATGGAAAATTTCTTTAAGTCGCACGCATTTTCGATCCTTGGCAGGTGTTTTTTAAGTAGCTATATTTGTTGTGAAAAATGCTTTTCAAAACACTCGAGTTTATCTTCTCTTATTCGACTATTAAAGATTTAAAACAAAAATCTCGTATAAGCTGGTATACCTTTTTATTTCCCACGTTAAATTCGATTGCGGAAATTTTTAGCAATCGTATTTTCATTTTCGTGTTTCTTATTGGTATAAATTAACGCAGACTATAATTGATCACGTTTCTCTCTTGCGGCAAAGAAAAGATTATAATCTTGCGACAGATGTCAGCCTGCCTATCGCCAAGGATGTTTTGCTTTCAATATGCAAATATTCGCCTACCACTGTCGAGAACACAAACAAAAGGAGACGGTACAGAGAGAGTTCGCTCACAAGCGTGATCCTTGACCAGAGAAGCGCACGACAAAAATCAAAGATTTCTTCGCTAGTTTTACGGTTCAAAAGTGACGGTTTTTTTTTTTTAGCGAGAAACAGAAATGGATGACGAACATCTGCAACTCGCCAAACGACACTCTTTTCCATATATGCAAGTGTACACATGGAATATGTTGAAGTCTAGATCCCCAAATGAAGTGGAAATCCAAAGCCCTAAAGCGGATCCTAAGCCCGTTATTAACTCCGACGGGACCAGCGAAGAGAGAGAAGCTCGCTTAGAAGCCGCCATATTGTGGATACGAAAGGAATTGGTGAGACCCTAGCCCTTGATAAGACACCAACAATTTTAAACATGGCCTTGAGATAATATTCCACTTTCTGAATTTTTTTTTTTCGCGATCTATTCTCAGAATGTAACAAAATTGGAGCAAACGTAGTTTGGTAACATAGCAAAGATTATAATCCTACGACAGGTCCATACGGAACTTATTTACCTAATTGTTTCTCCATGGTGGGGTCGTTTATGTTACCAGCAGTCTTGATTACAATGACGACTCAACAGTCTCACTGCAACAAACAAGTGATATGCATGGTTTCGCATTTCACTCAAGCAGGCCAGGCCGTGCTTGAGGACAGCAAAAAATTCACCTGCACTCTCAAAAGAAATTTAAAACTTATCGCACATTTTAGATTTGTAGTTGTTGTTTAGTTTTCGAAGCCTTTACATTGAATGATTGAATTGACGACTAATTCAAAATCAATAACCCAAGACGATTTCTATTTATCTGATCGCTCAGTGAGCATCACACAAGCAAAACAAACTGTAATTACAGTATTCGTAAGGCAAAAACATTAAACACATCAAGATTCAAATTGTGCATTTTGCGAAAGTCGGACGCGTTCAATTATTGAACAGTGAACATAAACCGGTCTGTGAACAAAGATTAAAACAAGAGTGGAGTCTATCATTGAATACAGAGAGTACAATATACCATTATTGACTAGCTTCTCTTGTGTAAATTAGCAACCGAAATATGTAACCAGCCATGGAGCTGTTTATGTAAATTAAAGCTGACTACATTAGTTACTTTGTTAACTAACGCACAAGAGCAGGCAGATTTGGGGAATTGGTCTTGTAATCCTTTAAGCAAATAAAGCGGCGTTAATTGCGTGCTGTTGAAAATACCAACTCTGTCTGTCAACACGGCGTCTAAAAAGATATTTTGCTTCGCTAGGATGTCAACAGCTTGTTGACCAAAAGGTCAGAAGTTATCCCTTGTTCAATTCTTTTAACTTTCCGGTCTTAATCGCACTGCGGACGGAAAACAAAGAAGAATAAAGAATTTCGCGAAACGCTTCGCTTGCCCGCTTGTTCTCGCGCACGCGTCGCTCGCAGGAAGGATGCGTGATTGATCGCGCGTTACATCGAGCGTTACATCGCGCGTTATAACGCTTTGGCAGCGTGAACAATGTAAGCTTTAATTTTTACGTCAAAAAAATCGTACTCGTTTGTTTAACTGTGTACGTTTCCTTTATGTTTTCAGTCTGACATGCGACACCAAGACAAGTACTTAACACGGCAGTTCATTCAACTGAGAGCAACGATCCAACGAATTAAAAGCGAGAACAGCTTACTCGAGGGCATGGAAGGCAGTACAGACCGAATGAAAGAGCCTTCCTTCCGACACTCGATTCCAGGACCTACTATTCGCCCTACGTTTGGTAGAAGTATATCATACATGTAACAAAGAACTCATTTGTTCGCCTCGACTCCCTTTGTCGAGCAAAGCTATGTGATGTTTAAATGAACTATAAAAATTGCTAACTTAGTAAAATTCCGCGGTGCAACAAAGAAATAACCTTGCATCAGATTAAAACATTAGTTTACAATTTATCCAGCTTCCTAGACCTTCCAAACTTTCGATGTCTCCATCTTGAGTTAGACACGAACGCGTCAAAAAAGACACTACGAACATTTTACGAAAGAAAACGATGTGCTTAGTTCGGTTACGAGCAATGCCCGAACGGTTACGCGCACGCTGCGCAAGGTAACGAACACGATGTGAGCGAGTACGACCATTGTGCGAACTGTTACGAACATTGTACGAACTGAGTGGTCACGGAAGTTGTGGAAAAAAA